AGGGTTGGTGCGGGTGTATACTCCGAACACCTAGGAATCTCCCTAAGCTTGCGTCTTCCGGACCAATGCAGCGATTTTAGGCGGAACTGATGGCAACCGACCGAGTCACAAAATCACAGTCGACAACCTCCATGGTAGTCATGAAATGCCGCACATCTCTTACCGAGATACCTAAGTCATTTCGCTCAAAGATGATATGGGTTCCGGGACACTGCGACATTGAAGGGAACTGCAAGGCCGATGAACTGGTGCGACTTGGCACCAAACTCCCTATTGAGAATATAAACGATGAAATAGGAATACCTTTACAAACTTGCAAGCTACTTATCTCCGAGAGGCTCACTAAAGTAGCGAACAACAGGTGGCATGACGAAAACACCTGTAAAACTGCCAGGACACTATGGCCAACGCTCAGCGCTAAACGCACTGGCTTGTGAGAAAGCTTAATATTTGTCCCTCTTAGAAGCTTTTCAAAACAAAATTTTAAGCAAACCAGCTCGCTCATCAACTACATAATGAAAGAGTTTTCTGCTTCAGGCAAAATTCTAGAAACAAGACATAAGTACACGATTGTTGTGTGAAAACTGTACAAATATGTACGTATATTTTTTTAGAAATATTTTGAGTATGCAGGTTTGCAGTACATTAAATTGTTGTATAATAAAGTGCAAGTTTAAAGAAGCTCCGACTTACCGTTGATTTTTGGAATTTTTTTTTCTTGAGTGAGTGACTCATTGCCGCTGTCACTTGCACTCAGTGAGCAATACCGGCAACAAAACAAATTCCTAAAAATCAACGGTAAGTGGGAGTTACTTTTAACTTGCTTAAAATATATTCAATAATTTTTGTTGAGCTCGAGACCGTTTTTAATGAAAAACTTATTGTGGAAAAGCAACAATAATTGAAAAAATGGTAGAAGTGATAGCTCTTTCGGAAATCACCACAGTGGGATCGTCGGTTCGAAGCCTACTGAAAGAAATCTGATGAGGAAATGTGGTGATTTCCGAAATAGCTATCACTTCTACCATTTTTTTAATTATTGTTGCTTTTCAACAATAAGTTTTTCATTAAAAACGGCCTCGAGCGCAATAAAATTTTTTGAATATAATTGTTATAAGGCCATAAAATAACAAAAACAAATAACTTAAGGACGAGCACACCTAAAAGTTAAACATTCTAAAAATAGAATTATTAGTAAAAACCAAAAAAACCAACAACCACATGATCAAGTGAATTGCAGCGGAATAGCTGCGCTTGATTGTGTTGGTATAACAAAATGAAAAAGTGGAAAAAAGCAACGATAATTTACAAGGCGAACTTAGCACAGTGCATAGGCAACTGGCTGAATCAGTGGGATCATCGGTTCGAAGCCTACTGAAAGAAGTCTGATGAGGAAATGTGATGATTTCCGAAATAGCTATCACCTCTACCATTTTTTCAATTATTGTTGCTTTTCCACAATAAGTTTTTCATTAAAAATGGCCTCAAACTCAATAAAAATTGTTGCTTTTCCACAATAAGTTTTTCATTAAAAATGGCCTCAAACTCAATAAAAATTGTTGAACATAATTGTTATAAGGCCATAAAATAACAAAAACAAATTACTTAAAATATTTCTAAAAAATCTAATTAAAAATCTTTTCAAAGTATGAGTGTCGCTATATATCTAAAATTTGTAAAAAAAAAATGAATAGTGCGTCCATCTCTTGCTAGGCGTTTGGCGAAGCTTCTCTAACAATCCTTGAGTGATAAAAGCCTATTTAGGCCCTGTGCCAATTGATAGAAAATAGAAAATTTTGACGGATCAAAGTAAAAATTTGACACTTCTCGTCGTGAATACGAACGTCAAAATTTTACCTAGCTAATGGGGCTAGGAAAATTTTGACAGCTTATAACCATGTATACACATAATATTGCTTGGCGGTAATAAGGAGTGAACATGAAAATGAAAGCTGAAACAGCATAAAAAAAGCGTGCGTTACTTGCAAATTATAAAATAAATATAAATTTTAAGAATTTCAGCAACACACAAAAATAAAGCTTTCGCAC